GGGCTGGGGCAGCTCATGGCCTCCAGGGTGAGTGGGGGGCACAGGGGCTCCCCAGGGACCCCAGCACATCCCGGCGGGCGCTCAGGGTGTCCATCTGTCCCTGTGTCTGTCCAGCTCACCATGAAGGAATATCTCACCTCCCTCTTCGACAACCACACGTGGGGAGTGCGGGCCCCCAACACCTCGTGGGCGGCCGAGCCCGGGGGGCTCTGGCAGGAGTGGGACCACCCCTCGGCCACCATCTTCGGCACCTTGGCCTTCTTCCTGCTCATGAAGGTAGCCGTGCCCCCCCCCCCCAGCTCTGTGTGTGCCCCCGGCTCGGTGTCCCCATGGGGTGACCCCTCCACGTGTCCGTGCTGCCCCCCAGTTCTGGATGCTGATCCTGGCCACCACCCTGCCCCTGCCCGCCGGGTACTTCATGCCCATCTTCGTCTACGGTGAGCTGGGGATGGAGCAGGGATCGGGGGGGCACCGAGGGGGACAGTCAGACCCGGGGGGGCACAGAGGGCAGCCAGCCCTTGGAGTGAGGGGTACTGGGGGGGTGTTGAGCCCTCGGGGCGGGTACATCCAGTCCTGGGAGGGGTACAGGGATGTATCCAGGGGTACATCCAGTCCCGGGGGTGGGTACAGGGATGTATCCAGGGGTACAGGGATGTATCCAGGGGTACCTCCAGACTGGGGAGTACAGGGGGTGTATCCAGCTGGTGAGGAGGGGGGCACAGTCTGGGGGGCGTAGAGGGTGTGTGCAGCCCTGGGAAGGGGTTACATCCAGTCTGGGGGTGTATCCAGCCCTGGGAAGGGGGTACATCCAGTCTGGGGGTGTATCCAGCCCTGGGGGGTGGGTGTAGGGGTGCCACATCCAATCCTGGGGGTACAAGCCCCGTGTCCAGCCCTGTGGATCGGGGGTGCCTCCAGCCCCGAGGGGGCTGCAGGAGGGTGATCACCTCCAGCTATTTTGGGGGGGCACTCCCGGTATCTCCCCCTTGCCCCTCTCCCCATTCCAGGAGCCGCCATCGGGCGCTTGCTGGGGGAGGGGGTGGCCCTGCTCTTCCCGCGGGGGCTCCATCCCCAGGGACCCCCCCGGCCCATCATTCCCGCGGGATACGCCCTGGCCGGTGAGTCGGGGGGTGGGGACACACTCCCGGGGGCGGGGAGGGGGACACCCACCCCCGATCCCTGACCCCCCCCGGGGCTCTCCACCCCCCCGCAGGCGCCGCCGCCTTCTCGGGCTCGGTGACCCACGCGGTGTCCACGGCGCTGTTGGTGTGCGAGGCCACGGGCCACCTGGGCCACCTGCTGCCCACCGTGCTGGCCGTGCTGGTGGCCAACGCCATCGTGCAGAAGCACCAGCCGTCCTTCTACGACGGCGGCATCATCGTCAAGAACCTGCCCTACCTGCCCCCCATCCGCAGCCGCCACACCGCGTGAGCCCCCTCCCCCCCCTCCCCAAAAAACACGGTCCGAGGGGGTTGGATGGAAATTTAGGGGGTTTTTTTTGTGCTGTCCAGCTCCTACAGGGTGGTGGTGGAGGAGTTCATGCAGCGCCGGGTGGTGGCCCTGGCCAAGGGGGATGGTTTCCAGGAGGTGCTGGCGGCCTTGGACGCCTCCTCCGACACCGAGTATCCCGTGGTGGAGAGCGCAGGTGGGATTTGGGGGATGGGGGGATCACGGGGACTGTCCCCCTCCTCCAGGGTCAGAGTGCAGGGGGATTTGGGGGATAGGGCATGTCACCAGGATTGACCCCCAAAGGGGGAGGGACACCCCAAAGGGGGGCAGGACCCCAATGAAGGACCCCAAAGGGAGGGCAATACCCCCAAAGGGGAAGGGAGACCCCCAAAGTGTGGGGGGGGAAGATCCTAAAGGGGGGGGAGACCCCCAAAGGGAGGGGCAGGACCCCAAAGGGGGGGGCAGGATCCCAAAGGGGGACCCCAAAAGGGGAGAGAGACCCCAAAGGGGGGGGGGGGGGATCCTAAAAGGGGGGACCCCCAAAGGGGGAGGGAGACCCCCAAAGGGGGGCAGGACCCCCGCGGTGACCCCCAGGCTGAGGGGGGGGGACACCCCCAACCAGAGGGCTCCAGGGTCAGAGTGCAGGAGGGATTTGGGAAATGGGGGGGTCACTGTGGCCGTGAGGGACATCACTGGGGTTGTCTCCCTTCTCCAGGGTCAGGTGGGATGTGGGGGACAAGGAGGGGTCACTGGGATTGTCCCCACCCTCGAGGGTCAGGGTGCAGGTGGAATTAGGGGTTTGGGGGGAAGGATCACTGTGGCTGTGGGGGGTCACTGGGATTGTCCCCGTCCTCCAGGGACACAGTGTAGGTGGGATGTGGGGTTTGGGGGGAGGGATCACTGTGACCAGAGGGGGGGTCACTGTGACCATGGGGCTGTCACTGGGATTGTCCCCATCCTCCAGGCTCCCCCACCCTGGTGGGCACCGTCAGCAGGGCCCAGCTGGTCACCTTCCTGCAGAGCCACGAGCACCCCCAGGCCCCCCCGGGGGAGAAGGTAAACGGGGGGGGGGAGCACCCGGCATGCCCAAAACGCTGCTTTTCCACCCCAAAATGACCAGTCCTGCTCTGCCCAAGGTGGCCCCGGTGGGGACCCTCGGGGACGACTGTGCCATCGAGCCCGTCATGCTCCAGTTCTCCCCGTGGACGTCCCTGCACCAGGTTTGGGGGGGACACGTGTCCTGGGGGACCCCCCCCGGCACACACACCTGTGTGCCACACCCAGGGGTGGCTCTGTCCCCACGTGTCCCTGCTGTCACCTCTCCCAGGCCTATCACCTGTGCCAGCTGCTGAAGCTGCAGAGAGTGTTTGTCACCCGCTGTGGGGACCTGGTGGGAGCCGTGGGGTGGGCGGAGGTGAGGGGGGAACGGGGGGAGAGGGGAGGGATGGGAGGGAAAGGAGGGAAAGGGGGGGGAAAGGAGGGAAAAAGTGGGCGGGGGGAGAGGGGGGAAAGGAGAGGGATGGGAGGGAAAGGGGGGAATGATGGGGATGGAAAGGGGGGAAAATTGGGGAAAGGGGGGGGAAAGTGGACAGGGGGGATAAGGCAGAAAAAGGGGGAAGAGGGGGGAAAGGGGGGAAGGGAGAAAAGGGAGGAAAAGGGGAGAAAGGAGGGAAAGGGAGAGAAAGGGGGAAAGGAGGAAGGGGGAGAAGGGGTAAAAAGGAGGGAGAAAGGGGGGGAATAAGGGGAGTGGGGGAAGGGGGGAAGGGAGGAGAGGGGGGAGAAAAAGGGAAGGGGGAAGGGAGGAAAAGGGGGGAAAATGAGGGAAAAGGGGGGGAAGGTGGAAAAAGGGGAGGGGGAAGGGGAAATGGGGAAAAAGGGGCGGAAGGGGGAAAGGAGGGAAGGAGGAAAAAGGGAGGGGGACAAGGGGAAAAGGGGAGGAAGGGGGGAGGAAGGGGGGGAGGAAGCTCCTGTCCCACCTGCTCTGTCCCTCTGCAGCTGCGCAGGGGGATCGAGGAACTCGCCAACCCCAAGTGATGACTTTTTGGGACCACGAGGGACCCCTCCCCAGGGATGTCACCCATGGAAAGAGGGGGGGCCCGACCCCCCAGGTGATGGGGGGGGTCTCCCCCGTGGGGAGGGTGTCCTGGCTGGGGGGGCGGTTCCCCAGCAGAGTGTGCTGTGCATTAAATACATCGATCCCTCCGGGCCTCCTCCTCCTCCTCCAGCCCCACGGGGTTCATTTTGGGGGGCTCACCCCCCCATACCCAACAAACAGCCCTTAAACCCCCTCAAAACTGCCCCAGGACATGCCCTGAAGTGCCCCGGTCTCTGTATCACCCCCCGGCCCCTCCTCCAGCTGTCAGCACATAATTATCCTTATTTCAATTATCCTTAATTACAATTATTGAGGGTGGTGGGTGTTCAGCGACCCCAAGGTCTGCGGGAAATGGGGGGGCTGAGCCCCCCCAGCCTTTTGGTGACCCCGGATTGGGGCTCAGCCTGTTTAGGCGGCACATCGGGCGCTAATTAAGGCGGGGGGGGTAATTAAGGGCGGCAGGGCAGGTTGGGTAGGGCGGGCAAGCCCGGGCCCGGCTCGGGAGGGGTGAAGCCGGGTCAGCGCCAGGGAGACACCCCAAAAGTGGGGCAGGAGCTGGGCTGGGCACTGGGATGGGCGCTGGGCTGGGCACTGGGAGCACTGGGAGCACTGGGAGCGGGGCCGGGCTGTGGCACCCGGGGAGGGGGGAGGGGAGCGCGGGGACGAGGCCCCAAATCCCTCGGGGGGCGGCACCCGGGGGTGACATCCCCGCCACCCCAAAGGCCCCTCTCCCCGCGCCCCGGTGTCCCCCTCGCCCTGTCCCGGCCCCACCCTGAGCGAACCCGGGACAAGGTGCTGCCGAGCCCCCAAACTCGGGGGGTGCCCCCCTCACCCGGCCCCTCCCTGGGCGCTGCAGGACTTTGAGCCGCGCTCAAGGATACGGCGGAGCTGAGCCCGACACAAACTCGTGACACACACGGGGCACCCACAGCCCCAAACGCCCCCGAAACGGGGTGAAACCCCCCCAAAAAGGCAGCTTTGGGGTTGGTGCCCCCAAAAGGTCGGTGCTCCCGACCCTCCACCTCCCTCCCCGTTCTGGTTTGGGGCAGAGAAAAAAACCCTCCAAACCCTTTTTTCCGGCGTTTTCGCACCCGGTGATTTGCAGGCTCCGCGCAGCCGGAGCCGCCGCCGCTGCGGCTTTGGGGGATGGAGAGGCCAAATTCCTCCCGGGTTTTGCTGAGGAAAAGAGGCCTCAGGGTGGGAAATGGTCCTGGAGTTGTGTGCGACCCCTTAAAAAACCCTAAACCCCCTAAAAAAACCTTAAACCTCCTTTAAAAACCTTAAAACCGCTTTGAAACCCCTTCAAAAAACCTCTTTAACTCCATTAAAACCCTCCCCAAACCCCCATCCTTAAAACCCCCTTAACCCTCCCTTAAAAATCCCTAAATAAAGACTTTTAAAAACCTTAACCCCCGTTTAGAACCCCTTAAAAAAACCCTCTTTAACCCCTTCACACCCCAAAAAACCCCCATCCTTAAAACCCCCTTACCCCCCCCTTAAAAATCCCTTAAAGCCCATTAAAAAACATTAAACTCCCTTTAGAACCCCTTTCAAACCTTAAAACGCCATTAAAACCCCTTAAAAAACCTCTTTAACCCCTTGAAACACCCCAAAAAACCTCCACTCTTAAAACCCCCTTAAAAATCCCTAAATAAAACCCCTTAAAAAAACTTAAGCCCCTTTATAAAATAACTTTAAACCCTTTTAAAGCTCCTAAATCCCCTTAAAAACTCTGATAACCCCTGAATAAACCTTAAAAGCCCTTAAAAAGCCTCTTTAACCCTTTTAAAAACCCTAAACTCTCCCACTCTTAAAACCCCCTTAAACATCCTTAATCACCATCTTAAAAACCCCTAAATTAAGCCTCTTAAAAGCCCTTCGAAGATAACTTAAAAACCCTTTTAAAGCCCCCAAAACCCCCTTAAAAACTCTGATAATCCCTTAAAAACCTTAAAAAACCTTTAAAACCTCTTAAACTCTTTAACCCATTTAAAACGTTTTTAACACCCCTGAAACTCCCCTACTCTTAAAACCCCCTTAAACCTCCTTAACCCCTTTAAAAATCCCTCAATAAAGGCCCATAAAAAACCTTAAGCCCCCTTAAAAACGCTTAAGAATAACTTAAACCCCCTTTAAAGGCCCTAAACCCTTTTAAAACCCCTGATATCTCCTAAAAAAAGCTTAAAACTCCTTAAAAAACTTTAAAACCCCTTAAAAAAACCCTTCACCCATTAAAAACTCCTTAAGACCCCTAAAAAACCCACTGAAAAATACCCTTAAACCTCCTTAACTCCCCCTTAAACCCTCCTAAAATCCCCTTAAAAGCCCCAAAACCCTCTTAAAAACAGAGACCCCTCAAAAACCACTTCAAATCTCCCTTAAACACATTAAAAACCCTTAAAAAACCCAGAAGCTTTAAACACCTGAAAAGCCACTTGAACCTCCTTAATCCTCCCTTAAAACTCCCTCCCAAAAAATCCCTAAAATCCCTTAAAAACCCCTAAAAACCCCTGATAACTCTCCAAAACCTCCCTTAAACCCCCTTTAAAAACCTTTAAAATTCTTAAAAAACCCTTTAAACCTCTTAAAAAAACCTCTTTAATACCCCACCAAAAACCCCCTTTAAAAATCCATAAAACCCTTTAAAACCCCCTTAAAAAACACATTTAAAACTTCCTTCAAAAATCCTTTTAAAATCCTTAGAACACCCTAAAAAACTGCTTTAAAACCCTCTTAAAACCCTTTAAAACACTGTTAAACCCCCTTAAATCCAGGGAAAAATTCCCCCCACCCCCAAATTCCCTCGATCTCTGCAAACAAGTGGGAAAAGACAATATTCTAGAAAACAAAAAAAGCACATTTTTTTATTCAAAACCCCACAAAAATCCCCAAAAATCCACGAAAAAAGGGGAAAAAAATCCGTTGTGTTGTTTTTTTTAATTTTCCC